ATGAATCAGTGATGATACAAATAATATATTTAGTTTAACATTCAACATCAAACTATATTTTCAAAATAATGACTAAAAATAGTAAATTATGATATTCTTCTTAAAACAAGACAAATATCCCATAATTTTCCTTACCAAAAAACCACCACAACAAAGATTCTAGTATATCGATTTATCTACAACTTACTGGTAAAATATTGTCACCCAGTGTAAAATGAAATTAATTAGTAACAACATTTCCCAGTTGAACAAAATAAAGAATAAAAAAATAGTTTATGAATCTCTTGGTACAAGCACTTTTTACATTTTAAGCCACTTGCAATCTGTTACAGTAGCGTATATCTGCTTGAAGGTAGATTCCACATAATGTTCTCATGGTGAAATAAGTATTTTTACAAGGCAAGTATTTGAGGTAGAACATTTAATCGTATTAGAAGTCTTATAAAACTGCTTAAAATATCAGTTAATGCACTCATAGCTAACAACGAGATTGTTTCTTTACAACGTTTGCGCATAGGTCAGCTAGTCAGTGACACCCACTTCCAACTTTTGGTCTATTCTGGTTCGACCAAATAGCGGGGTTTCACTATCGCTCATATAACGCACCCATAATCCCAAAGTGCAGATCACGTTTTTGTGGCAACGGGCAGCGAACCATGAACCCTCAAATTCACAGTTCGGAACGTTAATCAATAGGTCATGCTTGTCCATCAAAGAGATAGAAAAGCAAAGTGAAAAATGTAATAATCCAAATTTAAAAGTGTTTATTTAATTCCACTGCTAACCAATAGACCATTCCCATCCATCAAATATATTTAAAATAAAGGGTGAACAATACTATAATCCAAATTTGAAAGCGTAGTTAATTCCATTTGATGGTACTCGCTAAATTAATGGACATTTGGAATAGTTTGTCAAAACAGATGAAGCGAAATTAACTCAACTATGAACGACCTACATAGTTCCTGTTAATGTGTACTGCGTCTTTTTTACGTGTTTGTTTGATTGTTAAATTTCGCGCAAGGCTACTCGAGTGCTGTCTCCGTTAGTCGTCCCTAATTTAAAACTGATAGACGAGAAGGCAGACAGCTAGTCAACACCACCCACCAGCTCATGGGCTACTCTTTACTAACGAAAAATGGGATTGAACGTCACATTCTAACGCCTCCAAGACTGAAAGGGCGAATATTTTCGGTGACGAGATTCGACCTCGCGACTCGCACATTACAAGTCGAGCGCTCTAAGCAACAGGCCATACTAGGCCTTTTTTTTTGTATTTGTATCGGCCTTGTGAGATAATTCAAAAACCTGCGATCATTAAACTTGTCTCTTCATTCTTCTTGATATCATCTGAGTACGCGTTATTGTTTTTCGAACTATATGTATTACAAAGCTATTGGCGACACCGATTAACATACAGTGGTTAAACTTTCCATACGGAATTTCATTCTCTAGACTTACAGCTGGTTTGGGAACTAAAAATCGACAACAGGAATTTTTTTAAGAAGAAAAGCATAGAGTAACTTCTCTTTTGTTTGCTTCCTAAGTTCTCTTGTGTTCCTGTTTTAAATGTTCAAGGTCTAAAGCACCATCTTATACAAATAACGTTTAATCTTTATGGAGGTATTCTCATGGGTTATGTATTAATAATACATTTTCAATATATTGGATTAGGTACAATATCTTGTAACATCAGAAGAAAACGTATATCCTCTTAAGTAGTCTGTGGCTTTTTTTTCTTTTTTTAGTTAAGACACTCCAAAGAGAGTGCGTCACATATATATATATATATAGAAATGAAAGGTGGACCTTTCTTCTTCAGGAGCAAACTGGCAAACGTATATATATATATATATAAATATATGTACTGCTAGAGAACATAGAACATTTGAAAATAAAGAAAAATCGGAAAGCTTTTAAGAGCTGAAGTATCAAATTGAAAGTTTTGAGTAAAAATATTTTATCACTATTTCAACCAAACGAACCTCTATCGATTCCCGTTGAAACTGTGTTTCATACCTTTCGCTGTACCTTCGAATATGAATGTTAAATTAAGAATTGAAAGGTCCACCAAAATGTTTTTCTTACAACGAAAATTGCTGCCAATGAGATTCTAAGAAGCTAAATATTTAATGATTTTTTGTTGCGATTTCAAAATATTTAAACTTTTACAACCCTAAACAAAAAGAACAGGCAAACAAATTTAATAATATCGTGCAATATTCTGAAAAGTCAAGATATTTTGTCCATATGCTCAAATTTTGTTTCGTTTATATAAATGCTTCAATTTAGTTACTTAAATCGGAGTACACTTCATTTTTTTAATAGCAACAGATAGTATTTCTGAGCTCTTAACCCCATTTTGTAGTAACATTAAAAAACACTGGAGTTGTTTCTGCAGGTGACCTTAAATGTGGAGAAAGGCTTACCTCTGGGGCTACTGATACGTGGAGGTATGGAAGATGGCTTAGGAATTTTTGTGACAGGGGTTGATAACCCATCTGCTGCTGACTTGGCAGGGTTACGGGTAGGTGCTTAGAATTAAGTTCAAAGTATTCATAGTACTATACATATATGTACATGAGTGTATGCTTGTCACTATCCCCTCCAACCTCCACACGTCATACCATACACACACAAATATATATATACTTTACTTTTGGAGCACATTTGATGTTCATTTGTGTTAGACTCGGTAAGATATTGTACACAAAACACATTAAAACACTTCGAAATTACATATACAGCAATAGTTTCAGTTACTCAAACTTATCTATCAAAATAATACAGTATTATAATTCCAGTTTTGGATTATTCAGGCAAAATAGACAAATGGCTTACATATTTTGAATCTCATGTAAGGACACACTTTTATCATCTTCAGTCAGCCGACAACACAACTATTCCGTGTTTTTATGAAAAGCTTCAGGTCAATATAAAGCTACTTGCTTAGAACACTTGCTGTTGTAGCTTCCATTGTAGCGCAAGGCTACACAATAGGCTATCTGCACTCTGTTTACCCCTGGAATCAAACTCTACATTTCAGCATCGTAAGTCCGGAAACTTACCGCTGACGTTTAGAATAGAAGAAACGAATTTATAAGTAACAGATAAGATAATTCAATGAATATAATCGTGTTTAACAAATTACTAGTAATATGTTCTTAATTAATGCACAAGATACCAAAACCTGTAATGATTGAATTACAGAGAATCATCAAATGAGTATACCCCTGTTAACATTATTTCATTGTTACCCTTCTTCAAGTTCCTTCCAGCATAGGATGGATAAACAGAAAAGAAGTAGATATTTTTTCCTGTGTGGAATTTTACGAATTTTACAAATATACAATACTTTTTCCCTCCTCAAACAAACAGAAATCTAATCAAATATAGCATTTCTTCTGCGGAGGTTCATAAAACTACCTATCCCCTGGTGAGACAGCAGTAAGTCTACAGACTTACAACCCTAAAATTCGGGATTCGATTCCTCGCGGTGGACACAGTAGATAGTCCAATGAGGCTTTGCTAAAACAAAACAAACAAATATAAAATTATCAATAGTTTCTTTGCAACTTAATCAGTCAAAAAATAAAGAGTTTAACGGCCACAAAACTAGAATACAAAAGTAAGAAATTAACTCCTTTCTACTGTTTGTAATTTTTTAAACAGCAGATTTTGCAAGTTAATGATCATTTAGTTTTAAAATTTATTTAAAAGCGGATCTTTAAAAGACTAAACCTGTTTTATGTTCCTCAGGTTTGATCACATAATTCTTAAAGTTCTTTCTACGGATACGAATAGTTAGTAGATTATCTTTATCTTAAGATATACAAGTATGACCACATGGTTCTACAACTTAGTTCTAAAGATATCACTGATACTTGAAACCGTCGGTACTTGGTGAAACTCCATAAAATACAGTTTATTTGTTTTTGAATTTCGCACAAAGCTACACGAGGGCTATCTGCACTAGCCGTCCCTAATTTAACAGTGTAAGACTAGAGGGAAGGCAGATAGTCATCACCACCCACCGCCAACTCTTGGGCTACTCTTTTACCAACGAATAGTGGGATTGACCGTCACATTATAACGCCCTCACGGCTTAAAGGGCGAGCATGTTTGGTGTGACAGGGATTCGAACCCGCGACCCTCAGATTGCGAGTTGAGTGCCTTAACCACCTGGCCATGCCGGGCCCATAATTATAGAATTGAAAAAAAACAAGACAATTGTACCTTTAACAAATACATCATTTATTAAGACTATGGCGAAACCATGGTCGTAATAACTGGTGTATTTGTGAAACGTACAATTGTCTTCAATTTTGCTAAAGATATCAGTTTTTAGAGAATCGTGATACGTGTTTACAAAAACACCAGGAACAATAATTGTTTAAACAATTTTTTTAGTTTATTAAATATAGGCAGGATATCAATCACTGACCAAAACGCTTTAAAAGGATCACTCGCAAGATGTATCTTTAATTTCATTTACAATAAAGTATTACTAAAATTGGAGTAATTATTATTTTTGTTTTGTTAAAAAAATATTTATTAGTAGCAAAATATTAATTTCATCAGTTAGAAATTTAAGTTGGTTGAATATTTTTTTTTTCTGTTAAAAATAATTTAATTAGATTTTTGTTGGACTTTTTTTCTAGCGCACAGCTACACAATGGGCTATTTGCGCTCTGTCCACTGGGGGGAATTGAAACACCCTTGATTTTAGAAGTGTAAGTCTCTAAACTTACCGCTGACATATCGGAAAACATTAATAGGAATATATTCAAAGTATCTTAACTTCCTAGTGACTGTGAAATACAGGGCATAATAATAACAGTTCAATAATTCCAAACGCTTGTGTGTTAGATCCACATATATATTGCTTATATTGAAAAACATATTATTGTATACATAAAAATATTAACCTTTAACACCTAATTTCGCGCTTTTAGTCTATTATAATAAAATATTTAAGACTTAACATCTTCGTCTTGCCTAAATCACATTTTATACTCTTTTCGCTCGAGTTCTATTAACAGATTCCTTGCGCTTATCTCTATTGAAGCACATATTCTTCTCATACTCTTCTTGCTTCTAGAAATAAACATTTTGGGTCACCTTGGAGACAAAAACTGAGTCAGCTTTCTTGTTATTATTGGTCTCTGTTAAGGAGTACGAGATGAAGCTCACCCAATAAATCAATGTCTCTATATTGGCTAATCAGACGCTAGCAGGATCTAGCTTAGCTGATATATAGGAAAATAACAAGTTCAACAGGGACTTAAATACTGACTCTGCATGCTTCATTATTGAAAATGTCTTGTAGTTTCATGTTGTTACTACTTAAAATATCGTCTGCTTTGTTCGTTAGTAGCAGTTTCGTCCATTTATCTTTCTTATATCACCCATGAATTTGTTGTTCTGCTTCTAATGTAATGTTTCGTTCTTCTTGATCTTCAGAAAACAAAACAAAAAACTATATAATGATGGATACTTATTAGAAAAAATGTCAACTTAATAATCTTTAACATGCCACTTTTTCATTTTCAAAATGTTATTCTGTTGTACCATTCTATACCACTTTTTCGTGATCATTACTTGTTAAGACATGAGAATTTCTTTTCCAAGAGCAAACTTATCAGTTATTAAAAAAAAGACTTATAATTTCCTCTCTTATGGTTACTCCTCCTTCAGTTATTGATTAAGTAATGTTTTTTAAATATAATTTCTGTATGTAACAGAAAAGGACAAAATACACCAAGAAAAATCACTGTTCAATAATTTAAGTAATCTATAATACTGAGAGATTTTGTTTGTTTCAGTTTAATTGTTCTTCTATATCTTTATGACAACTTACCTCCATGTTATGTTCATAGTTAATACTGCGTTAAGCAGTCGTTCTTAGCACATCAAAAGCAGTTCTCAAAAATAAATAAATAAATAAAATATAACAAGAGGATAATATAACTCCTGACTTTCTCATAGCGCCATCTACTAGTAAGTTGTATCAAAAACCCACTTAGAAACAAAATACGTCAAGTTCTTGCATTAGTTGGTAGTTCTAATATATAGAAGCTAAACTTTCATAACTTTACTAGATTAAGTCTGCTATTTCAACTAAAAATAATTATCAAAAATCGCACAAGAAACCTACAGTATTCTAACGTGTTGTATTTTAAAGGAAATTTAATACAAAACTTATTCATACAATTTTCTTTCTATTAGTATTTTCATATTCTTTCCTCATCAACTATATTACATCCAACATAGTTTCTGTTTTGATTAAATTCAGTTTAGTAACATTTATCTGCTTCCTGCTAAACTGTTTACTGTATTATTAGAGTAATGGGTATATATATATATATATATATTGTAATTAACATGATGTTTATGAATTTCCAATATCGAGTAAATATTTTCAAATGAACTTTTAGAAAATAAACAAAAAAACTCATAACTTTCAGATTAAATTAAGATACTTTAAAAACTTTCCTCAACGTAAATATTAACAAGAAATAAATACTTACGCGTGAAAAAATAGTATGTAAACAAATAGTCAATGTTAACTTAATATGTTTTTTCATCTCTAGTTGAATATTTACACTAGCTGTAGCGTGAGTTGTTCAGGAACATACGCGATTTAAAAGTAGTATGAAAACACACCAATTTACAGCAGTTCGAGTTAGTCTCGTATTTAATATATGAATGCAGATAGCTCACAGTGTAGCGTTGCGCTTAAACACAAAAAAAATGTACCAAGTTATTCTCCTCCCCTATTATCATTGTTATGAATACGATCTATGACGATTCACTTACAAAATATATGTTTATTCAAGAACATCAAAATATTTTGTGTAATGTCAATTCAACACATCTGCCTAATTCATAGTACAGGTTCTTAGAATCCCTTAGAAACTATCGCTAGAGTATTAACTACTATTTTGCTTCCTCTATAAATAGGTTGGTGACCAAATATTATCTGTTAACGACAAAAGCTTTAAGTCTATCAGACACGATGAAGCTGTCGACATTCTAAAATTTTCACCGCGCATGACCATGACCGTCCGATTCGTAGGAAAAGTTCCACACGCTTGCACTCCCTACAGCGGACAATCTTGGTATCAAGATCATCAACAGTTATCGTCACCACGGTAAGCTCTTGAAATGCGATATTAATTTTAAAAATTTCAAAGAGATTATTTCAGTATAACGTTTATTCTTCTTTTATAATACATGTTTATAACAGGAGGAAGTAATTACTGTATTTGTAATAATTCAGCTATTCTTTAGATATGGATAATGGTAGGCTTAATCTCATATATATCAAAACACAACGATATGTACCTAAACTCTTCTGTATTTAATCTTTTTAGACCCCGTAATGTACATAATGCCAGACATTTTTTTCCAATATTTATGTTACGTGATTAAATACGGTATAAATTATAAACTATAGATTGATGGTTTCATATGATAGTTTTTTATAACGTATTTCGCATGTTATAGTTGGAGATGATCGAATCTTGACCACTATTAAAGGAACTACTTGACGTCTTTTGCACAGTTCTATCCAACTGTTTTTCTGTTGGTCTGTTTACTAACGGTTGACAGCCACAGAAGAATTCCGTTTTGATTACCATTGTTGATACTCTGACAAACGAGCTAGTTTGGTATCGTCTATCATGCTCCTTTAAAAATTGAAAGAATCTTAACTCTTACCCATTGTCTTGCAGATAAAAATAGTATGACTATGCATCTGTATTCCTACGGCTCGAGCAATCTTCTGCCACATTTTATGGTCAGTCTAGTTTCCATATGCAAATAAACGGAGCTCAACAAAAGTGTATGTGTGTCTGCGTAGAGGCGGCTTAGTAAAATGGCCACCCAAAGCACAAGGTCAATTATAATAGATAAAACAACACACTAGGTTATATTGCAAAACAAATTGCTGGTGTATTTATGGATGTGATAATAAATGTCAAAATTGATATTTCCTTGCATGATAAGATGTATAAAGTTAATATTATCACTAAAACGTCTGCTTATCATGCAACTCAGATTTACATAGGTAATCACTTACCATATCCGTTATATCTTAAGATGTACAACAGATATGATGTGATGTATAAAGTTAATATTATCAATAAAATGGTCTGTACATCATATCTGTTGTACATCTTAAGATATAACGGATATGGTAAGGGATTACCTATGTAAATCTGAGTTGCATGATAAGATGTATAAAGTTAATATTATCAATAAAATGTCTGCACATCATATCTGTTGTACATCTTAAGATATAACGGATATGGTAAGTGATTACCTATGTAAATCTGAGTTGCATGATAAGGAAAACATACGACATAGTGATTAGACAAGAATTACTAGAAATACTGGAGAAAGAAAGATGTGGGACCCGCCCTATAGAGAAAACTTAGCACGTTATGTGATAAAGAGCGTTAAAAATATGACGTGACAACCAATTTAAATTTCACTGCCTTATGTGACGCTTTCCAGTAACTAACGTTCCATTTCCAAAATTAAAACTAAAAATAGCGCAGCAGTGCAATCAAATTACAATTCTTGCACTAAAGGTAAAACTTAATAAATGAATTTTCGTCCATGTAATCTGACCTTAGATCGGTTAACTGCGTTTGTATTCATAAAACGATTTTTCTTCTATTTTTGGTATGTAAGTGAAGTTCTACAATCGCTTTCTGTTAATTATCATCTCTGAATATTCACGCTCACGCCCTCAATCCGCGTTTTGTTTCCAATATCATAAAAAATTAATATTTAAATTTATTCTGATTACTAGGAATCGAGACACTGGATATCATTCTCTGAATCTTCGCGTTCACGCCCTCAATCCGCGTTTTGTTTCCAATATCATAAAAAAAAAAAAATTAATATTTAAATTGATAGGAATTGAACCACTGGGTAATAAGCCTCTGTATTTCAAGGTAGAAATAAGTAATAAACAAGATATAGCTTAGGTTACTGCGCATGCCATATAGAGAAAGCATGAAAACATATGAGATAGTTGGACATTCATTCATTTCAACAGCGAGAACTACTACAGAAATTTCAAACTTTTAATTAAGTCCTAACTTGAAACATTTTATACAAACCCTCAGGACACAGATAATATGCGATAGTGGCTTTGTTCCAACGTCTAGTTAACTACGGAACAATCAACCTACATATCAACCAACGATAACATAGAAAGAAAAGTATTTTAACTTTAATATCTAACTACGTTGGGTTCAAAATAATTAACAACAAACAAACTACACTTTTACACAAAAAGATTATCGTCCATTACAAGACGTTGCGTTGGAATAATCAGTGTGACTGTTGTTTCTAAATCGAAATGTAATCGTCGGTAGTTTGAATATATTTTAATGAATACTCTTTTTAACCTCTTTAATATTTCTGGTATTTATTTTATGTATGCGGTGATTATTATGAATTTGTTGACGTAAGGTATGTCCATCAACTATATAGTATTAAACATAATTATCAACAACAACAAAATTCAGCGCACTAACACAATAAAATATTCTAGTAACTATGTTCACACTAATTCACATTAACATGGAATATATTAAAATGTCTTGTTCTGATACACTTTGATACATCCTCTTAGTACACTGTACTTTTTTTACCAGAGCACAGAATATTAGCAAAATATTATATTCTATCTGGTTTGTGAAAATTGAAAATGTAAAGTTACATGTGTATTTATATTAATTTATTTTAGTCGGGCGGAAATGGGGTTTGTACCGTGGAATATGGTATATAAAATGTTTATTGGTTCTTTTCTTGGTAGATTAAAATGAACTAAATCAGATTTTGGCAGGTACCATTCTAGTATCCTTGGGCAATCTGAAATATCAGTACATTTCTAACTGTATGCCAATGCAGGATTTTCCATTTTTTATTAGGGGAAGGGGGAGTGTGTGACATATATGGCTGTAGTTTCATGAGCTTTGCGTGTATGATAAATCTGATACCAAATAATAGATTATATAGTAAGTTACTGTTCACAAAATGAGGCTTACAAATGTGTGACTTTTGTTGGTCACCAAAGTTTAAAAGGTTAAACTTTTGAGACCAAAAACGGAAATATTTACTTGTATAAAAATAAACTCCTATTTATCAATTAAATATTGAATGGCATGTGGTAGATTAACTGTCCTTGGTCAGAAGCGGCAGATTGGATTGTAAATAATATTACGTTATGAGCTTGCAACAGCGGTACCTTCGTTGTTCGACGACTTCGGCAACATGAGGAAGAACAGGTAACTGCTAAACTTGTAGTATGGACCGGTAACCATAGCGCATTAGATGCAGAGGTTGTAGATGACAATGGGATGCTGTCCTACGTCACATGGCCAAAGCTGATAACTGTATAGTGCTTTGCTAAGTTTGTTTTTCGGACAGCCGAGAAAAAACATGATTCTTACATTATTTTTGACAGATATGTGGAAAGTGCAATAAATACTCATGAGGGGTGTAAGGCGTGCAGCTGGAGCTACATATCCAGACCACAAACATGGTTATGTGGACACTTCACTGCCACCCAGAGACACCATCATGACTTGTAGTCACAAAAAGTAACCAGGTATATTTTCCAAACAAATCAAATCATTTCAATATGATTAGAGAAAACAACAATGTTTTTCGCCATGAGGAAGTTGACGTCATCATTGTAAGCTATGCGTTGTTGTTGTTGTTCATCGACCATGGAAAAGTAACATACAACTGGTTACTGGTAACAATGATATATTTGTTCTACTGTTCTATTTTTTGTTAGAAATATTAAAATGTTACAATCTCAATAACCATGAGAAAATTTGATGGATGTACAAAAGATATAATGGATTCAGCAAAACATCTTGGTTCAAAATGGGAAGACATCTTGGCATCCGTGCCCTTACAGGTTGTGACACTGTGTCCTACCCTTTCGGTAAGGGGGGCAACGATTGCTGTGCCTATCTTCAAGATGGATAATCTGGGTTTTTCATACATGAGGGACCCCACTGATAGTATGAAGAAGGTAGCATCAGGTGCTATCAAGTTTCTTTGCCTCTTATATGGTTCCAGAACCAAGACATCTCACAGTATCTTGCAGCATGCTATGTTCACCAGTAAGGATGTAATCATTAAATTCATGTCCTTATCATCAACTGATCTAGCATTGTTGTAGCATATCGAAAGACCTCACCAGCAAGTAACATTGTGGAGAGCAGCAGATCAGCAGGAACCACAAGCCGTGTTATTGACGTGACAAATGTTGGGTTGGAACTCAAGGATATAGTCCCACAACCAGTATTTGGAATAACAGACATCGCTCCGTATGAAGGGCTGTTAAAAATTGTTGCGTTTAACTGTTCAACAGACATTGCCTCCCTATTCCCATAATAGATGCAGGTTTAAGGCTACTGGGCTTTCATCTACATCCTTCTGTAAATGTGGAACTGAGGATAAATGCCAAAATGAGAATACAAAGCATGATGAAAATACTTTGATATTGATGGCATAAGAGGAGTTGGTAATGAGGACGACAATGCAGACAGTTCGATTCACGTGAACATAATAGAGCATTATGTTAGATATGATAATTATAATATTGTGAATATACAACAAAAACCTGATTTTATGTTTTAGGTGAAGATACATATTACTGATTATCAATAATTCATGCTGTATACTTATTTGTTTTGTTTGTTTGTTTGCTTTTGTATAAATTACGACGCATTACCGATTTTGAAATAATATAGCAAATATAGTTATGGCTCACAAGAAACTCATATCTTTCAAAAACTTTTATTATAAGTTCAGATTCTGTAATAGAAGTTATAAGATGATCTTGTAATATATATAGCTTAAGAAATAAATGTTTAGTTTCAAGAAACTCAAAATTTTGGACTTTGTTCAAGAAGTTTGAACACTAGAACCATATATATATGTGTGTGTGTGTGTGTGTGTAAAGAAAAACTCTGTCTTAGTTAGTCCCTTTTTATTACCTATTGTTTGGTACCCCCCCCCCCCCCAACTGTAACATAAGTTCTGGTATTTTGAATTGCTCAAGAGTGCCAATGTGGCACCCGCCAAAATGTGATTAAACACATAGTTTTATACAAAAACCACCAAAAAACGCTTTATTTACCATATTGCCGATTCAGCTAAATTTCACCACTTGGCAATCCGACTACTATTTGGTTTTCTGAATTTCATAAATTTTAGTTATGATTTTGCAAACTAGCGGTTGTTAGGTGTTATTACATTGATTGTACTTTCTATGCCATAATAGTAATGACATAATATTCCACCAAGTTTACTTATGATTGGAACCATATAAACGGTGAATATGACAGTAATTGAACGAATACGTTTATCTTTACAGACTAAGGAAAGCTATTTTAAGTGTGGTTTACTGCGGTTTATTTATTATATTTTGATAGGCTATTTGCTTTTGATTAGGCTTAATAATTGCATAAAAAAGACAACATAAGTAATGGCTAAAATCGTGAACTTGTTTGTTTGTTGAATTCCGAGCAAAGCTACTCGAAGGCTATCTGTGCTAGCCCTTCGAAATTTAGAAGTGATAGATTTGAGAGAAGGTACCTAGTCAACGTCACCCACTGCCAACTCTTGGGATTGATCGATTATAATGTTCAGTGACGGGATTCGAACTTCCGACCCGCAAATAGCAAGTTGATGCCAGACCGAAAAACGTGAAAGATGTCATTTCGGGTATAAAACCTAGCACAAATAGAAAATATTACCTACTGTCAGTAGAAATTGTATTTATTACGTAACCTTTCGGATCATCCCCCTCTTCTAATAGCGTTACCAAAAAATACAGTTTTCCCTTGCAATATTTCTCGTTTTCTATACTTCTGTCAGTTGTTGATGAAGAAAGTCTTCTTTAATAACTGGGCATTTACATTGTATTTGTACATTTATCTGGAGAAGTGTTTCTAGTAGATTCTTAACTTAAATGCTTCTAAAAATCCCGAGAATCATGTCTTTTAAATCTAGAGTAGAGTTTTATATGTAGGTTATCTAGAAGAGGAAGCTCCAGAAAACGGGAGAAGCCCAGAGACTTAGAGGTAAGAGGAAAATTCACAAGCTTGTTTTTGATAATAGTATATTTTAGATATTAACAAAACCATTTTGCTAAGCATTCTAACCACCTTTTCTCCTCTTATGTTAACTTATTTAAATAGCATCCCATATCTAGATCCCATATCAAGAACATTTTATTGAAATCCATCATGATATCGAACATTTCATCAGCTATATAAAATTATAAGAACGCTTTCGAAGTCATCAAAACACTTTAATCCATTACTACGAAGAAGTAATCAATATCTTGACCAGAATTCATTAAAAGATTCCCAGTTATATAACTGTCGTTATGTATCTGTAAACTCTTCTGTTTGGTGTTATACAAAAGGCTCCACAATGGGCTACCAGTGCTCCGCCCACCGTGAATATCGAAACCTAATTTTTGATTAATTCAGAAGTTCGATCAATCAAAAATATCCCAGCCTAACGTTACGCCTAACTATGGTACAGATAATTTCGAATACGTTTAAAGCAACCAAATTAAATTATTCTGTATTGCCTACTTATTATTTTTTATAGAAACCAGTTATATTTTAACAATAAGTCATTCAAGCTTATTGCTGAGCCACCGAGAGCCCTTAAAACACTTATTTCTTCAGCTATGATGTACTAAATTGTTTATTATAAAATAACTTTATGATGAAGCGATTCAATTACCACCATCTAATTTATAATAGTCATATAAATTTCATTAGTTACTTTTTCCAATTGAATTAAATATTTCTTATTTATAATTATTCCAAAACACTATTAAAAGCTAAAAATAATACTAAATTGTCTGTAGTTCCACAGAAAACGTCGGATCCTTCGCCCAGTTAATAGGCTAGTTCACCTTAAATTAGGCAAGTCTGCTATACTTCGTAATTTATTTGATCAATGTTAATAACTATTGTTATGAATGACTTACGTACACATGCAAACTAACGATCAATATTTCATTACACAATATTTAACAAATTACAGTAAAATTCCACACAGTTACTTAACATTAGAATAGTAAATTACTATCGTGACGTGTTCTGTTCTTGGGCAAGTTATTTTGGATTATTCAGCGAAAAAAATGTGAAATCCAGTTCAGGTTACGAAAACGAATTAACTTATTTCTTCGATAACGCTTGCTACAGACTACGTTTACTGGGAGGCCTAACTTTACAAATAGCGTTTCAACAAAAATTTCCGAAACTAATGTACAACTAACTTACTTGACTTGCAAGAAATCTTCACAAAGCGATCGATAAAAAAATATGCTGACTGAATTATTCACTAGTTTACTAACTGAATCACAGACGAATAGATTCACTAACTCTTACTGTTTATGTCAGTAACTGATAATGAACTGATTAATTTACTCTAACTCACGCACTCTGGCATTTTTGTATTGTACTAGTTTTATACGAGCTACAGGAAGCTTCGAGAAAGGCCTAAACTTTCATAAAATTTCTATACTTCACCAATCATTACCCATTTAAAAATTATTTCTAGTGAACAAAATATTTAAATAATACAAAAATAGTGTACAACTACCCTTAAAAACTTTCATAATCTCTTCGTTAAATACTATCGAGTTAAAACAAATTATAATGTTTTTCTATTCACTATTTTACGTATAAATAACAAAAAGTGGATACGTTGTTGGTGTTTCAGAATAGTTAAGTTATCCATCAATAAAGAGGTAAGGTTTAACTGGTTATTAGCACCAATACAAAGTTTTCTCTTAGATCCAAATTGTAAGATAAATATAAAACGTTCCATACTTAAAACACGTCATACGTAATGCAATTCTAGGTTTAGAAATTTCTTGTATAACCGTTTGATGAAATTGGAAAGGCTTTAAAGATCTTGCACCTCCAAAATAAGAGAATTTTACATAAATGGTGGGAAATTTCGATTTTTTCTCATTATTTGAATACCGCTTAACTTTTTTATTGTCCAGACTATATCTACCTCTCCCACGGAAGAAGCCGAGAAGATCCTAGATCACAGAGCACAGCAAGTATTGACTGAGAATGAGAAAATATCCTTGGCATATTACTGTAACGAATATGAAACTAGAGCTATGACTGTAGACGCCTTTGTAGCAGTCTTGATGGAGCTATTGGAAAACCCAGAAAAGGTGAGTTGTTTAGCTATTTGAAGCCATGTTTATCCATGTAGCAGCCAGATAATTCGGTTCAGCATATTTAATTAGTTCATTAAGGAATACCTTATTTTTAACTTTCGCTATGTAGTCAGTAAGTGTTATGTGTTGTACCGATAGTTAATTTCCTCACACATGACGGGTACATTAAAATCTCGATCTAAGATGTGAAAAATCAAAACATATAAAATTCCTATAATGATTAGATTAACATGTTTTCTAAAATGTGCCCCTCTCCTCCCCTGAGTACAGCATATAGAGCCTATTGTGTAACTTTGTACTTTGAGAAACAAAAAAGGAAACTCTAAACTTGCCTTTTCATTTTTTTATAATAAATTGTAAAGAATCGGGTAACCTTAAACAAAATTTCAATATTTCCATGACTTTAACATTTCACACGTGGTAAATAAAATTGTATAGGAGTAAATAAAAGAAATGATTTAATACATTTGCCGTGTGTAGGAATATAGCAGTTTTACAATAAAACATTAGTAAATACTAAAAAGAATCATTCGAAATTTTTACCTTAAAGTAAGTGAGAAACAGTCTGATTCTGGACCAATTACTTCAGCTTTCAAAGGTTACACATTTCCAAGATAAGTCTTTAACAAACGGTGTTGATATGACGTTTTCATAAGTATCAAGACAAAACAGGCTTTATGAATACAGCCTTACACTTCAGGTTACTGCGATAAATGCAGTATCTTATTTTACTTTGTAGTTTGTAATAAAGTTTAATTGCAATTTAAATAGATCTTTAGTTGATCACGAAAATACAGTAGATATTTTTTGAATTTTAAATTTTATTTGAGAGATTGTTTGTTTGTTTGTTTTTAATTAAGCACAAAGCTGCACAATGAGCTATCTGTGCTCTG